TTGCCATGATCAAGATGGTCCAACCATCACCAAACACTCGCGGGGGGGGGTCTCTCAATTGATTTCCTGGCTCCTGAGTTATGAGTAATTGCTGGCCATCTGGAGATTCTCACACCCTGATCATCCAGGTTCCCTCCCTGGTTACTATGGTGATGGAAGATCAACACTAAGGAGAGGAGATCATCCTGTATCTCCCTAAAAGAGACTTTGGCATCACGGCCGCTGTTTTCACAGCCATTGCCATATCGGCCACTGCAGCTGCCATGGCCAGAATTGCCGTTGCCCAATCTTCCGCCAAAGCAGAGACCTTTACCAGCCTTGCTTGTAGAGTTAGTGAGCACTGTCCACCCAGAATGTGCTCAATACGTGTATTCAGTTGTGGCTGCTGATCAACAAACTGCATCACTACAGGAATAAATTGATGCTCTGTGGATAGTGCAACAAGCCTCTTGTTCACATTTTTTATCATGCTACATGTGTATCTTCAATGAGTGTATCTAGTGTATCTGTGCAAGTGAACCTTCTAAATGCTTTCATGAGTGGATCTCGGAAAGATATCTTTGTAAACTTTACCACTGTTCTGGCTCATCATGTAACTATAAATCATACGTGGATTACCCTTGTAATAGAGGAAGGCAGGAAGAACACTATGGTCCAGATTGGGGGATGGTTACAGTCATGGGGAGGTGCTGTGTTTGTGGGGATTCTAGGAGTCATGGCAGTGGTGGTAGGCATTCTGGCCTTATGTCAAGTTCTATAGTCAACAGATCCATCACCAAGTATTGCTTAGCTTAGCCCATGGCAATCCCAGTAGCCATGAAGTCTAGTTACAGATGATTCAAGGATGAGGTTCTCTGATGATAGGCAATCTATGGGGAAGAGACCTCCCACCTAAGACAGGGGTTGCCAGGTCCCCCAAAGATAGGTAAGGGAAGGTGACCCTAATTGACCTAAGACAGGAGTACCTCATTAGAAAATGAAAATGGGGAATTGTGGGAACAAGAGACCTGGGCTGAAGGCCCACTTCTCCATCAGCCTGGGAGCAGGCAGCTGTAACTGGTCTCTGTGACCACAGAGAAAACAAGTTTACTAAAAACAATCCATTGTGTGTAACCACAAAGAAAAACATGTTTATCGGAGCAATAAGTTCCTGATAAGGGCTCACCCACTGGAACACCCTGAACCTGACCTTTCCAATGACAAACTGCCTCTTCCTGACCCTCCACTCCTGCGTCTGGTGTCAGGGTATATAACCAGATGGGCTAAGAATAAAGTGAGCCTTTTTTCACCACTGACTGGTCTTTGTGTCATCAATCCCAACACCCTCTGCAGATTCTCAGTCCCAGGCTTCACGAGCATGGCAAAATATACACTGTGACTCAGTTAATTCTCTCTTTTTTTCACAATATATTGTGATCAGGTTTTCACTGCCTCAACTCTTCTTAAATTCTAACACCACTCTTCTCAATTTCAAGTAAGCTCTCTCTCTCTCTCCCTCCCTCCCTCCCTCCCTCCCTCCCTCCCTCTCTCCCTCTCTCTCTCTCTCTCTCTCTCTCTCTCTCTCTCTCTCTCTCTCCCTCTCTTTCTGTGTCTCTCCCGAACAAACAAAAATGAAAAACCAAAGAAAACATGTTTAAGCAAAATAAAATAAAGCAAAAGCCCCCTCCCCCAAAAACAAAAAACACACAGAATTGGTTTTCTGTTGGTCATCTCCTCCTGGGTTTGTGTCCTGACTTGGGGGGTGATTAATTTGTCCAGTGACAGACAGAGAAACCAGATTTTCATTTGGTAACATCTTTCAATTGCAAATAAATTCCTGGTTAGGAATAGGACTTTGCAACTACTGAGAGGGAATCCATGATGTTGGCAGGTACTCTGCATGTTATCAGCAGACTAAAGCCAATATTAATATCTCCCACCTACAAACCCTGTAACCTATACAAGATATATATATATATATATATATATATATGCATGTGTGCATGTGTGTGTGTGTGTGTGTGTGTGTGTGTGTGCGTGTGTGTGACCTGACTACACCCTGGTACAACAGTGGCACAAATATAATGAAAGTAAGCAACCCCTTTTTAAAAAATATATTTAAGGACTACTGCTTAAGTGGAACTGCTAAAGTAACCAGAACCAAAGATTTGATAGCTTATGGTCCAAGAGGAAAATCTACTACTATTATTATTCTAAAGGAATATAACAATAAGATGAATCCTAATGACATATTGCTAAACCCATAGGTCAGTGAATCACTCAGCACTAAGTAGAGAAACTTTGTCTTACAGTAGATGGGAACAACAGAAATACCTGCAACGAATACTTTCTTACCAAAAATGCTTGACAGAGAGTAACTCACACTTGTTCAGGAGATGATTGATGTTCTGATCTATGTGTGGTTCTACTTCTTCCTGAAAGTGTTATTATGATGTGTCCTAGGTCCAAAGGCAGTAGTAGTACTTGTTCTTCCATGTGTACAATAAAAATTTCTGTCTATAAAACTCAATCTTTATTAAGTGTGTGAACACACATCAGATTATACCACTCCCTTTGGAGGTACCCCACCCCTAAACTTTCCAGGCAGCATCATCTTGCACCATGTACCTAGTTGTGTTTGACCTTTAGAACACTGTATTATCCATATATACTGGAGTTCTGTACTATCTGCGCACCAATTTGTGAGCTATGACTCCTTTGGTATATTTGTGATCAATCTTTTAACAAACTTTCCACTTAAAATCACCTGCTCAAGACAAAGGCAGCCATTTTATTTAACTGCTCATGTCTGAAAAATGCCTAACAATAAAATTTTATTTAATTATGTTAGCTATTTGACTCTTGAGGAGAAGTTTTTTAAAGAAATCATTACCTATTTTCCATTTGTGCAGGTCTGCATACAATCTTATTGCCTTACATACATATACAATTTTATTACCTGTACATATCAATTGGATATCATGATATTTAAAAAATCTTAAAGATTATATAACAAAACTTCAATACATGAAGTTTTATTTACAAATGTAAGCATTTTCAATTCTAGTAAATGGAAAAAGTTGCATAAACATTTTATTTTGTCATACATATATTTAATTTCTGGAAATAAATGTGTTGTGCTACAATTGGAAATATCAAATTAATTTGAATATTCTAAATTTCTATTTAAAGGAGGCACATTGAACAACATTCAGAAAAATACAAAAATCTGCATTCACTAAAAAGATTTAAATGTGAGTGAAATTAAAGATATGAACACAGAATATGCACACATCAACAAAAATATTGGCAACTACTTAAAGAAGGTTGCACATATATATCTTATGGGTAATAAATATAGAATCATAAGTATGATTCTTAACCTTTCAATAAAGTACTCAACAAACACAATCTTTTCATTATCAGTTTTACTTCAAACAATCCCTCAAGTTTCTTGAATCTTCAGGAGGATAAATTTTTTGTGCTTAAATAGGACTATAAAAAGAGGAAAAATAATTGTTGTGTCTCTAAACAACATTTGATAAGAACCTCTTCTTTTTATCATTCTCTTGAGCTCCCTACAAAAAAGATATTGATTAAAGTTGATAAAGAACATGATTTTATATATTATCAGGATAATGAAGAGGCAGAGTTAATAATCCTGCAGAGTAACTGTTACTACTATATATGTTTCTTATTTTGAAGGGAACATTCATCAACCCATGCTGAAAATATGAAGTGTACTGTCTTTGGTGATTGGATCTTTCTAACATGTCAAGAAGGCTGATAAAGGAAATTATGTGACTTTTCACCAAGCTGAACTTTTTTCTTCAATAAGTAAAATTATTGTAAAATACTGTTCTCATTCTCAGTGTCCAAGGTCAAAAACAAATACTCTGAAATTTTATGTCTTCCATATAATTTCAAAAGCATTAACCTCTCAATATGAACCTTTTCTTTATTCTAATTACTTCTTTTCAGTGTTCCATAGAGTTAGAAAGAGAATGCACTGTTATCAATTATTAAAGTTCATATAATTGTGCTCAATATTTCATTATAATTATAATAAGCTCAACATTTTTGAAATTCTAAACCTGTAAATGGAAAGTTTAATTACCATGATATTTAAAATTGGACACACTGATTCTTCATTTCCCGAAATGACTATTAAATTGATCAGAATATTTACCCTAGAAGACACCTATTTGAAATTTAAAACGATATAATTATACAATTTAACCAGGTATATAAGTACTATTAACTCAGGAATTAAATTTAAAAAGCAAGTTTTAACTAGTTTTCTTATGAATTTAAATATTGAAATGATCCTTTATAATTCCATACATATGTTAATTTCATTCTAGAACAATCATATGATAAACATCTTTGCCGTATTTCAAATGTGTGCCTATATAGGTATATTTATGTAAATATAACAATTATAGTAAAAGAAAAAGTGGGTATCAATTTAAGAGTGAGGGGGAATGGAAGGATTTGGAGGGAGGGGATTTGGGAAGGGCTTGGCAGAGGAAAGGAAAATGAGACAGTGATTAAATCCTATTTTAACTAAAATAATTAAAATTAAGATTTTAATCAAACCATTTTAAAAAATTGTTATTCACTTAAATTATTTTAGCAATTTGTTAGTACTAGCAGCTGGTACAAATGATTCTTATACTGAGAAGCTAACTAATGATCCAAAGTATATAGTAGGAAATTTATGTTGTTCAACATTTTATCAGTTTTTCTAATTTTATCTTTAAATATTTTGCAAATATAATCCTCTGAATGTTTTATACATTCATCCATATTCCTTAAAGTATATGGGTACTTCTAAATGACTTTTAATGAGACTGTATAAAGTATCATTTTTAATGACTACATTTTGGTGATTTTATACTTAACATGGAGCACTACATTATAGTAAACTATATTTATGGAAATTTTCCATTTTGCATGTTGAAAAGTTTTTAGTGAAATTACTGCTCAAAATTAAAGTGTAGAATTTGATAAACATTTATGTGACTCTACATTCAGGTTAATACCTATATATAGGAATCCTGAAAGATCACTCAAATCTAATTTTAATCCTTTCATACCCATAGTAAATACCCAACTATACACTTATGAATCCATCATACATACACATGTGTGTTGTATATGTCTTTGTAGATTTAACATTTTTCTGCATTTTAAGATTTTTTTGACAGTACCATACTCATACACTGTGATCACATTGGCATCCCTATCCTTTCCCATAATCCTTCCACTCCCACTAAGCATCTCTTTTCCCTAGCTGGTCTACTCCTACATCCTCGTCCAACCACCTTTTTATTAGGATCCCATGTAGACAGTCATAATTGCTATAACCCTGTTGTTTTCAGAAAACAGTGTTCTTTCTCAATCCTTCCCACTCTTCAACTCCCACAATGCTTCACTTTCTTCTGTTATGTTCCCTGGGCTTCAGAGGGTGTAGCATATAAGACACTCAGATGCGTTGAAGGGGGATGTCCTTCTGTATGCTGTGAATATATGTTTCTGTCATTGGTTCATGAATAAAACTCTTTTGACCAATTGGCATGTGGGTATAGCCAGGCAGGAAGGATAGGCAGGGCTGGTAGACTAGGATAATTCTAGGAAAAGGAATGCAGAGAGGGTGTTACCATTGAGGGAGAAGTCGGGACATCACCGGTAAGCCAACACCACATGAATATGCACAGATTAATATAAATGGGTTAATAATTAACATAGAGCTAGTCAATAAGTAACATTTAAACAGTCAAACAGTTTATAATTGATATAAGCCTCTCTGTGTTTATTTGGGACTAAATCAATGTGGGAAAAGGCAAGACATAAACTTCTGTCTACAGTAATTTGGATTCAGTTACTTAATATCCATTATTTGAATAGTTTAGACGTTATGATTTGGCTACTGTCTATTATGAAAGCTGTGTATGTCTATGAATGTAAGTATAAGTATGTAGAAAATTATTTGACGTTCTCTATTTGGAAAAGCATCAACAGTAAATTACTTTGATTTTGAAATCTTTAGACAAAAATCTTTGTGCAGATCTAGTATCAGGTATATATGACCTTCTATGGGACAGTCTTTAAATTAATTGAGGAAAGGCCTATCACTCTAAGAATACCCATGCAACTATTTAATCAGAAGACATACCTTATGAAGCAGGTAGGGTCTACAGCTATTGTGATCACTGATAATTTTCTCCCTCAACAGCCTTCATAAAACCTTGCAGCATGGTGAACACTAGCTGTCAGAGAGGAAGCTTCCATCCAGGTATCTTCAGCAGTCACATCTTACTGTCTAGTTTTGTTTGGCAACAAATAGAAATGCTGATATCCTGTATTTTGTGGGAAATCTCTGTGGATTTGTGGGGTGTTAACCCATGCTTGGTACTAAGATTAATATCTAAAAGCCCACAACTCTAAAAGCAATATTCCCACATTGCAGAGCATCTCCTGAAAGTATTACATGCTTTATTATTGTATAGTTTCTTTAATTCAGCACAATATACTTTAGGATTTACCCATACTATGCATATATCAATACCTCATTCTTATTGTTTCTATATAGTATTTCATTATACACATATTTTCAAAAATTATGATATATTCATGTGTAGGAATTCTTAAGAGTTCCTGAAATAAAACTGCTTGGTACTTTCACATTCTAGTGTTTATAATGATGTGTTACAGATAATTACAGTTAATTTTCTAGGAAACTGAAATTATTTTCCTTAAAATATTGTTCCAGTTTACATTTGTGAACCTAGTCTATGCTCTGATATCTTCACATTTCACACACATCTGAGAAATTAGATGCTGTAATTAGAAATCAGTGCTATGTCAGTGCAGTTTGATTTTTCATTTCATTAATGATCAGTGATGATGAGCCTTTTAAAGCAGGCTTATTTATCTTTTTCATACCCTTAGAGTTCCTGGCTTTCTATAAGCATGACATTCTTGAGAAAGGAGTTGTCAAGGGATACAGAGCTTTCATTTTTGTTCCTTCAGGTTTTGAATATCATAAGTGTTGATCAATGCAAGCTTTAAGTGTATTACTGTCCTAAAAGTCACAATATTTCTCTACCAAAAATGTATGTCCAGTACCATGACTTTACAATACTTAGGCACAAAAGAATAAAACTGAAAGTATGAATTTGTTTGTAAATATGCAGAGAAATTATTATAAATATATGTAAGAACTTAAAAACTATTCATTTCTCTTGTTATTTGGTTTTCCTAGATAGGGTTTCTCTGTGTAGCTTTGGAGCCTATCCTGGCACTGTAGCCCAGGCTAGCCTCAAATTCACAGAGATCTGCCTGCCTCTGCCTCCTAAGTGCTGGGATTAAAGGTGTGTGCCACCAATGCCTGGCTCTATTCATTTCTTTACAATATAGAAACAATGTCAGACATGGGCCTCTAGTTGGAAAATTAATTGGCAAAAAATCATTGAAATGATTGCTGATGATACTCTTCTATATTCATAGATGGGAGCCTAGTCCAATCATTATCGCAAAGGCTTCATCTAAAAACTGATGAGAACAGATGCAGAGTTCCACAACAAAAAGTTAGGTGCAAGTTGGAGAACTCCACAAAAATTAGAGGAAGAACTGTAGGAGCCAGAGGGTATGAGGATGCCATAAGAACAAAGCCCAGAGAATCAATTAAGCAAGGCTCATAAGGGTTTGTAAAGACTAATATGACAACAGGGAGCCTGCTTGGATGTGAACTTGCCCTTCTCCATATATGTTATGGTTGTATAGCCTTGTATTTCTATGGGACTCCAAACAATGGCAATGGAGTGTCCCTGACTCTTTTGTCTCCTCTTGGACCCATCTCCTCCTCCTATATTTTTGCATCCAGTCTTGATATGAAGGTATGTGCATACTTTATTTTAACTTCTTTCTAGCTTTATTGTAAATTGTTATTCTATGTTCAGGTAATGTCTCTGGGATACCTGCACTTCTCTGAAGGGAAAAGGAGGGGTGAATCTGGGGGAGAGGGGAGGTGGGTGAAGGGACTAGAAGACTAGAGGGAGGCGAAGTGTGGTCATGATGTAACATATGAGAGAAGAATAAATTTGTAAATAGTGGGAAACAGGAATAAGATGAACTTGAGCTATAACTTTAATATTTCTCAAATTTAAAACAGACACGGGAACATTTTGTTAAGGAGAATCCTAAGTAAACAGGCACACCTGCATCCATCTCAGAATTCATGGCTGAACTTCCTCCTGCTGATAAGGCCTCAGAGCACTATGCTGAAATACCATATAGGAATTACATTTTAATATACTGATTAAAATCACCTTTCCTAATTAATGTTAACATCACTTGTTTTCTGTATCTGAATACCTAAATAATTAAAAACAAAAAGAAAAGGTATTATCTTTTTAGACTTCTACAAGATTTCTTGTACCTCATTATCTCTAAACATGTCCACATTTATCTTAAAATAGCCACTTATTGCAGCAATTAAAATAACATGCAAATATTTCTGCTAATTAGAAAGAATGGAGTAAGATGTCACCTCTCATTTTGGACCAAGACATTAAACCAATCAATGATATTTCTCTATTAGACCTGATCATAAACAGATTTTTAAAAGTTTACTTTCATATTTGTATAAATATTTTGAATAATGGAGTGATTAGCTCAAATCTCTATTTAATTTTTCAAGTGTTTAAAAGAGACATCTCCTTTTAATTCTATGCACATGGGTTAACAAAAGTTATCTCATGCATGTTTGACTAATGAAAGAAAAGTCGTGAGTCAAACCACATTGACTTCTCAGCTCACTTGTTCACAGACGCATTCATTTGTAAAATCTAATGAAAGTATTGAAATGAAAGAGACAAAGAGATGCTGTAAGAGAGGTTTGGGGGAAACCCTGAATTAAAGTTGAAACAATAAGATAACAAAGAATTTTAAGAAAGCACATGTTTTCTGCCAGAAATCTTCATACCAACTAATTCTATTGAATTCCATGCTTATTATTTCATAAAATTGGGTAGGGATGAAAGAACTTGATGAAATGTGTTGAAGAAACAATGCTTCATTCTTACTGAAATTTAGAAATACTTACCTTGGGCTATGCCTCTCCATAGAAGCAGAATAATGCAGAACACACTTCATTAATTGAAAATGAAAACGGTAGAACTGCCACACAGATCTAAAACCTACTCTGTCCCTAGAGGACAAAAAGTAACCAAGTTCTAACAGCTTCTGTCTGTTTCCCTAAATGACCTCTGTCCTCCCATTAAAAAGCCTGCCAGAGCCATCTACTGCTTGCTCTAGCCAATACAAGACAATAGGGCCCTGACCTTTCTATCTTAGAGCGTTTATAAAAAAGGCTCACAATTATAAATCTTTCTTTTGTCCCTTTGAGATGTATGGGCATTTCCGACAACTCAGAAGTGTCTCTCTGGAGCACCTGAAAGCCATTGCTTTGAAATGCAATCAGCAGGAAAAAAATAAAAAAAGAAAGAAAAATAAAAGGAAAGGAGGCCTTAGTGTCCAAGACTCTGGGGACAGAACACAATCTGCATTTCCACAATGGTCAGACAGAAGACACAGCAGGCCTCACAACATCTACCCTGACCATCTCTGTAATCTCTAACTGCTAGGAGTCCAAGATAGTGTTTGCCTCTTGCTCCTCCATTTTCCTTCAAATATCCAATCACCTCACTACAGTTCAGAATAGAACTCAGGAATTCTCAGGAACTATCAATATTTACTGAGTAAAATCTGTTTATGCGCACTAATATTCAGCTATGCTTCCTGTTAACAAAACAAAACGTCTAAATATTCACCTAGGAATATATGACTCAAGTTACATCCCATGTTTGACCTCATATAAAGCTGCCATAATTTAATTCATTAGGAATGTCCAGGGCGTTAAAAACAATTAACAAAATAAGCACACCATTAGACCACCTAGTAATTTCATGGACTTGCTGATCACATTTATTGTTTACCTGAAAATTTGAGTCTTTAAAAGCATAAAGGGCTAACAGTGAAGGAATTTAGTCACTCAATGGTTTTAATAAATATCGGTGAGTAACAATTTTCAATTAGTTATGAAATGTTGTTATGTGTAAATTTGTTTTAAATACAGTGCTTTAATTGAAAATACAAATATGCCACAGTCTTATGATTTTTGGTCACTAATAAATTTATGTGGGAATGCAGAATAACATTCATAAAATTTCAGAATTGAGAAAGCCAAAAACTATACTGCATTTAAACCTTTTACAGAGAAAATGCACCTATGTAACAACACGCACATTATAGAGAAAGTCACTACAAACATTACATACACATCTGACTAATCTTTAAGCTGATCAAACACATACTTGCCCTGACACATAATTTCCTACATCAGAACATCCTGCTTGTATATATTATAATTATTTCATTGAAAATGTAGACAATTTAATCATTTTAAGAACTGTGAATTTTCCTCAGTATAGGGAGTTAATAACAATATAACCACCCTTACCTCTGGGAATTCCATGTTTTATGTATTTCCACAAATACAGAAGAAATGACAGTGATCACCTTGTCTTTCCAGTGAGGTCATTTAGTTTCATAAAAATACATAGCCAATAAATAAATAATTTGGTCCAAAAATCTGGACCTTCATAATTTGAAATTTATTGCTGGTGATTTTTAAACATCTCGGAAGGGAGAGAGAACTGGGAGTAACATGTGTAAATAGTTAAATAAAAAATTATTATAGGAAAATTCTACTTCCAATAGTTAAAGTAAATGAAGCATTATTCTCCATTCAGGGTTATTACAACTAATGGTTTAAGCTTACAGCTTCTTATTGCTTATTTCCAATTAATTTTCACTGCATTAGTGGTTTCATTCTTGTGACAATATCCCACACAAAAGAAGCTTAAGGAATGAATGGTAGGTTTAGTTCAATGTTTGAAAATACAGTCTACAATGGTCAGGTGACAAGGCCAGGAATGAAGGGCAAGTGGTTACCTCTTAGGAATCAGGAGACAAATGCTGGTGCTCAGCTAGCTTCTCCTTTTTATCATAGAAGGACCACAGCCTATAGGATGGTGTTACCCATATTCAGAGTAGGCCTTCCATCCTATCATAAATCCATTCAGAGGTGATTCTCCAAAAAAGTAGGAATCAACCATCCTACTTGTCCTGCATTTTAGTCTCACTGGTTATTATCTCATTCTTTCCTATGGAACATTAAACTTTGAATCACTTAATAATTCTGTCCAGGTCATCACTAAATCACATTTTAGTATCTATCAACAGTTCTGTGTGTATTTAAATGATGACTAATACTACAATTATTTAGGTTAAAAGCCACTAAAATTTATTAGTGGAAAAAATGGGAAAAACCAAATCAATTAGTTACAATTAGTCTTTTCGGTCTTTTGTTTGCCATGATAATTCTGGTTTTCTTCAGTAAACTGTCAAATTAAATTTTTGATATTAAGTAAAACTCATTTAATTACAGCCAAGGAGATCATTTTAACCATGAGTGTTATTTGTTATTCAAATTGATACAATGCATTTTTCATTAGGTGAAAATAGATTTTTTTGTTTGTAATATATGCTGATTATAGTTTCCTCTCCCTGTACTTCGTATAGTTCCTCTGACATACACACACATCCAACTCTGTGCTCTTTCTGTCTCTCATTGGAATACAAAGAAGCTTCTACAGGATAATAATGATGTAAGATAATAAGATAAAAACAACATTAATACATTGGAATAGGACAAAAAAAGAGATGGAAAATAGTTCAAGAAAAGGTACAAAAGTAGATGTAGACACTGATATCCTCTTTTTCTAACACTCAAGCACCCATAAAAGTCCTAGTTTTGAAGCCATAATGTATATGCAAATAATAGGAGAACTGGGGTGACAGAGTTTGTGTGTAAAGTAAATAAATTTAAAAATAAAATAAAAGCCCTGGCATAATATTATGAGCCAAGAAACCTCCAATGATGTTACTGTGTCTGTTTTCTGTAGTCGCTCAGTGCTGGGCATGAAGCTTACTCTTAAGAGTTGTTTGTCTCCACAGTGGTTATCAATTGGAGATGGATTCTGGATTACAGATATGGACATGTGTCCTCTTTTCCTTTCACCTAGGACCCTCATCTGATGGAGACTCCTGCAGGCACTGGGCACGTTGCCCCAGGCCATGTGAGTTCATATGCATCTCAGTCCTCAATACAGTTTTGTTTTCTTGGTGTTCTCCATTTCCTCTGATAATTACACACTGTCTTCCTCATTTTCCTTGGGATTCCCTGAGTGGTGGGAGGGATTTGATAGGGACATCCTGTTTATGGCTTTTTCTCTCATTTACTGCATGTAAGTCTGTGGGTCTCTATATATGTATCCACCTGCTGCAGGATGGAACTTCTCTGCTGTTGATTAGGCATCATTTTTTTTCCATCTTTTTTTTTGTTTGGTTTGTTTTTTTTATGGCAACAGCATTTGCTTTGGGTTTTACCATAGGTCTCTGTACTATCTAGTCGCATATTCCTAGTCACCCTAGCAGTCTCAGACATGGATTCCATCTCATGCAGTGAACTTTAAGTCAAAGCAGACATTTGTTGGCTACTCCCACAAGTGTTGTACCTCCTTTGCATTAACATATCTTGCAGGAAGGACACCATTATAGATTAAAGGGTTTATGGCTGGGTTGGTGTTTATGTTTCTCTTTTGAAATCATGAAGAGTAACATCCTATACTACAGAAGCTAGCATTGAAGAGTGTCTATGTAGCAAACACATATACTTCTTCATGTTCAATGAGTTTTGTTGTTGCTGCCTTCAGCAATGGGGCTTTGCCATCAGTTTGTGAAGAGCTGTCTGTAGTCTTTGGCAACAGTCTGGGTTGCTTGGGGGCCGGGGATTCCATGGGACCTCTTTGGGCAAAACTTCAATTATAAGGAACCCAATCCTGGTACTTGAAGTTTTATTTAGGGAGAAGAACTGTCCGATTGGGGATCTGTCTCCCCTGTTATTTTGAACTTCATTTAGATTTCCTTCATATATGTGCATATCTTAGGAAGCTGCTGCTGTACTAGGTTTTCATACTACCACTCATGTGGCCCTTAATTTTAGTTGTGTCTCCCTGTATTCTCTCCTTCATCCTTCTCTTCACTCTCCCTTGATGGGAGATGTCCTGTATGCTGTGAGTTTATGTTTCTCTTATTGGATGATTAATAAATGATGATTGGCCAGTAGCCAGGTAAAAAACGTAGGCAGGAATACCAGAATGGCAGGAGGAGGAAGGCATAGAGAAAGATACACCATGTAGTTTCTGGGAAGATATAATACTGGGCATTCTCTGGTAAGATAACACCATGTGCAAATACATAGATTAATAGTTATGGGTTAATAAATTACGAGAGAGCTAGTCAATAAGAAACCTAAATTATCAGTCAAACTGCTCATAATTAATATGAGCCTTTGTGTTTTTAATTGGGGTTAAAAAGCTGTGGGACCAGGTGGGACAGAAAGTCTGTGCTCTAAGGACAATTCCAGTCACCCAAATATGCATCCATTATATTCCATTTCATTTTCTTCAGGAGATCTCTCTTGATTATTATTGAAAGAACAGGTAAAATCCCCACACAAGCAAATGTATGCCATATTTGACATTCTGGGTCTGGTTCCACTCACTCAGGATGGTTTTCTTCTCAATTCATCCATTTACTGTGAGTTTCACAATTTCAGTTTTAATCACTGAATAATAGTTCATTGTGTAAATTTACCACATTCCACATTTTCTTTATACATTAATCTGTTGAGGCACATCTAGTTTGTTTACAGTTTCTGGCTATTATTAATAAAACAGCATTCAGTACTGAGTTGTTCAGTTTCCAAACATGAATCTATGGTTGCCATATAGGATAGAGTGTTATTTCAATTTTCTTGTATTTCTTGAGACTTTGCATCTAAGTATATGGTCCATTTTGGATAAAGTTCCAAGAGATGCCAAGAAGCAGGTTTATTTTTTGTGTTTTGGTCAATATTATTTAAGTATCTGTTATCATATTAGGTTCATAACCTCAGTTAGATCTAGCATTTCTGTGTTCAGTTGTTGTCTGGGTCAATTGGTGAAAATGTGATATTGATGTCTCTTAATGTCTATTTTTGAAGGTCAATATATGACAGAAGCTATAGTAGTATTTCTTTTATGAACTTGTGTACCTTTGAATTTGGTGTATAGATGTTAATAATTATAATGTCCTCTTGGTTGATTTTTCTTTTGATGAATATATAATGTCCTTTCATATCTTTTCTGACTTGTTTTGACTTGATATCCAAATTTTAAGATCTTAAAATAACTACCCTAAATTGCTTTTTAGGTTCATTTGCTTGGTTTATCCTTTTCCCATTCTTTTACCCTGAGGTGATGTTTATATTTTATGTAGAACATGCTTCTTAGTGATAGCAGAAGAATTAATCCTGTTGTCACTTTCATTCTGTTAGTCTGTGTCTCTTTATTGAGGAATTGAGACTATTAATGCTGAAAGATATCAGTGAGCTTTGCTTGTTGATTGCTGTTATTTAGCAGATAGTGTGTGTTTGTGTGTGTGTGTGTGTGTGTGTGTGTGTGTGTGTGTGTGTTTCCCCTCTCTTGATTTTCTGGTCTTGAATTATGTGTTTCTTGTGTTTTCATGGGCATGGTTAACCTCTTTAGGTTGGAGTTTTCCCTATAGAGCATTTTGTAGGACTGGATTTGTAGATAGATATTTATTACATTTGGTTTTATAATAGTATTTTTTCACCCATTGTGACTAAAAAAATTCTGAGTATAGGAGTTTGGGTTGGGGTTTGTGGTCTCATAGAGTCCATAAAATATCTGTGTATGCCCTTCTAGCACTTAGGATCTATATTGAGAAGTCAGGTGTTATTCTAGTAAGTCTGTCTTTATATGTGTCTTTTTTCATTGTAACTTTTAATATTCTGTTTTTGTTCTTCATGTTTAGTGCTTTGATTTGTAAGTTCTGAGTGATTTTTCATTTCTGGTCCAGTCTATTTAGTGTTCTGTATGCTTCCTATACCTGTAGATGCATGCCCTGCTTTACATAAGGGGAATTTTCTTCTATGATTTTGTTGAACTAATTTTCTGTGAATTTGGCCTTTGCTTCTTCACCTACCTCTATTCCTTTATTCTTAGGTTGGATCTTTTCATAGTTTTCCAGATTGTTTGGAGGTTTTTGACAGGAGTATTTTTAGACTTTGCATTTTCTTTGACTGAGGCATATTTTTCCTATTGTGTCTTGTATGTCTGAAATTCACTTTTCATCTTTTATGTTCTGTTTTAGAGGTTTACATGTGAGGCTCCTTTTAAGTAACTACATTTTTGGTTTCCAGGTTTCCCTCAGGTGTTTTTTTTTTTTTTTTTTGCTTTTTTTCTGCTTCTGCTTTCAGGTCTTGAGCTATTTAAATTAATTCCTTCTACTGTTTTTTAAAGAATTTTTTATTTCCTCTTTAAGTATCTCAATAACATCCATAATGCCATTTTAAGGTCTTTGTATTATGCTTCAGCTATGTCACTGAACTCAGGGCCTGCTGGGATGTCACATGAGGACATGTTTAGGCCCCTAGAATTTGGGACTAAATGAGGTGTGAGGAGAGGTTATACAACACGTAGTCTCCTACAGGGTTAGGAGATAGACTGGAGGCTTGGACATGGCAGAGAAGAGGGATAGTAAGGATCTGAAGCTCACCTACCTGTTTGCATCTTCTACTCTCTTCTCTGGTGGGCTAGGTTAACAGGATCCCAAGGAATGCCTGCTGAATACAGGAACTAGGATAACAGGATGACTGCAGGAAAGAAAGTTTATAGGGAAAGATAAGTGTGATCTACTGAAGGTGGGGGCAGAGAAGTGGAGGTTACCACCAGTGGGCCAGCTAAGGAACTTTGGATAACATTGGGGATTAGATTTGGGGGAGAGGAGACAGAGATGAAACCCTACAGTAATAAGGCTGCTTGCTTCTCTGGACAGATACCCACAGGTTTCTTGGAAAGGTGTGGTGGATTTGGGGTCTGAATTAAAGTAGTGAGTTGGGTGAAGGCAGTTTGTCAGGAAAAACAAATCTTTATGATCCACTGAAGATAGGAACATGGTTAAGGAAGGGCTGTAGCAAATGGCATGCTACAAATCTGGGCGTGAGACTGATGGAAGGGGAGATCTGCAGTTAGCCCACTTGCTTCCCTGGCTGAAATGTCAAATTATTTTCATCTTATGATATAAGGTATTATCTGGATTCAACAAGATAATCACTTTAAAATATTTTTCTTCTCTAATGAAAATGACTATTGAAATGAAGCATACATGTGTGATAACAGTATTGAACTCTCCAGAGTTGCCCTCTGAAAATTTCATGTGCACTTTCTTATTTTTCATCCACAGTCTAACTATATCTTCAGCATGCTTCCAGAGTCAGGGAAAAAGATCTGACATTCATGGTAAATACACTCTCCCCACTGTTTTCTGTGTGCCTTTTCTCATGGTTGTGTTTCACCTAGCTACTATGAGCTCCCATTATGTTTCTGTAGTTCTTGCAAAGGCATTTTGTTCATGTATATCTTGCTAAACTAGAGTTCAAGCAACTCCCTAGTCTCCTTCCAAATGAAAAAAAATATTATACATTTATTGTCACTCATGTTGGAATCAGATCCTTGAGATATTGTATTCTTTGTATTCTCAAATTTCTTACTGTTTCATTTAGTTCTGAGCCATTCATTTCACTCTATCTTCCAAGGTGCACACTTTGTGCCAGGTAATGATAGGTCAGTTATACTAACGTTGAAGTAAGCTTTTGCAATATAGTTATCAAGATTTTTAAGATTTTATGTGTGCCGGCCATTGGTGGGGCACGCATTTAATCCCAGCATTCAGGAGGCAGAGGCAGGCGGATATCAGTGAGTTGGAAGCCAGCCCGGTCTACAGAGCGAGTTCCAGGACATCCTCCAAAACAATACAGAGAAACCCTGTCTCCAAGAACCAAAAAAACAACAACAAAAAAGATTTTACTTGGTATTCCTGGAGAATTAATTAAACCATTTTGTTGAGACTGCTTTGTGTCTACTGGAATGACTATGAGTATGAGCAACTTGATCTTGGGATCCTAGGCTGGTTCATTGGGTTCTTCTTTCTTGTAAAAACCTCAATTATATTAAATTGCTGAAGTAGCTCAGACACACAGTGAGCAGACTGTAGGGCTCCCTCTATAGCTTGAGAAGGAAGTAAATAATCCCTTAGCTGCCAGCTCCCTCCTGAGGCTGGAAAAAATTTCTTTCAGTGTCTCAGAAGACACATATTTTGGGACCTGTCCCAGACTCTTAATTTAAAAATTACTTGAATGGCATCTCCTTTCCATACTCAGAAACATCAAAAAGGCCTCCTTTGAGTCTATATGAGCAGAGCATAGAAATCTGCCATTTCCTTGGCATTATGTATAAGTTAGACACTTCTTAAATATTGGTAGTTTTACTTTTGTTCAAGATAATTTTATACACTTTATTCTGATCACAGTCTCCCCTCTCCAACACCTTCAAGATCCTCCATACTTTCCACGTATATCTTCTCTCACTCATTAAAAAACAAGCAAACAAATGTACCAAAACTACATAAACCAGAATTAAATAATAAAGACAAATTTATGTATGTATTATGTATGTACATATGTATGTATATTTCATTTTGTTTTCAGACTCATGGGACCTAGGAGTAGTAGAAGGCAAGAAAGAAAACAAAAGATAATATATTATTCATTTTCATTTTGTACACTATGCCATAATAGAACTTTCAAATTTTGGAGACATGATTTCTTTGTGTAGCCCTGGCAGACCTGTAACTTGATGTGTAGATAATTCTGGTCTCTTCCCCAGAGATCTGGCTGTGTCTGCTTCCTGAATGCTGAGATTAAGGGCATCCACCACCACCTCCCAGAAAGTTTTCATATTTTTTAAGAAGAATGTTCCTGCTTGAAAAGGAGTTGTAAGTTATAAAAGGAAAGAAACAATTACTTGTTGCAAAATGGATTGTGACTATTTCTTCCATTACTTTTGTATTCTATCATTTGTATGACTTGTCTTGATGAACCACTGCAGTCTACATTCGTGGAGAGATTCTGTTAATACAGAGTGAGTTCTAGAAGTTTTACAGATATAATAAGAGAGCCATCCTTCTGTATCTGTGGGTTTTATATTGATTAATTGGGTCACATATGGATGCAAAATATTTGAAGTATTTCATCTACATTGGGCACACGTAAGTATGTTCTTCTTGCCATCCATCCCAAGAATACAGAAACAGCCTTCACAGCATCCCAAATGTTTCTTTATTTTAATATTTTGACTTATTTTCTTCAAGTCTTTTTCTTTTTTAATGTTTTTATTTAAATTAGAAACAATAATGCTTCACATGTCAATCTCAGCTCCCTCTCCCACCCCTCCTCCCTTGTCCCTCCACCAGTCCCCCGACCCCCACACAATCCCCACATCATTCCCCAGGGAGGGTGAGGCCCCCCTTGGGGAGATCTCTAAAGTCTGTCATTTCATCCAGGGCAGGACCTAGGCCCTTACCCATGTGTCCAGGCTTATAAAGCATCCCTCTATTTGGAATAGACTCCCAAAGATCATTCATAAACCAGTGATTTCTGTGGCCTCCTCACTAAGACTACATTCATGGAGTCTGGATCAGTCTCCTATTGCCCATTCAGGCATCAGTCTGCGATTCAAGAGCTACCCCTTATCAGGTCAGCTGTCTTTGTGGGTTTCACCATCATGGTCTTAACCACTTTGCTCATCACTCCTCCATCTCTGTCACTAGGTTCCAGGAGTTCAGTGTTTAGCTGTGGGTATCTGTCTCTGCTTCCATCAGTCACTGAATGAAGGTTCTAGAATGGCATATAAGGTAGTCATCAACCTTACCATCAAAGAGGGGCATTTAATGTAGTCTCTCCACTATTGCATAGTTTGCCAGTTGGTGTTATCCTTGTAGATCTCTGGAGATCTCACTAGTGTCAGCTCTCTCCTCAAGCCTCTAATGACTCAATCTACTATGGTATCTCTCATCCTGCTCTCCTCTATTCTTACCTTGACTCAACCTTCCTACTACCCCATACCTTCTTCTCCCTTCCTCTTATCCCCTTCTCTTTTCCCTGGCTCCCACTCCCCTACCCTGATGTTCCCAATCTGCTCAGTAGATCTTGACTCATTCCACTTCTCTGGGGTATCATGCTTCTCTCTTGAGAACCTCCCTGTTTCCCAGACTCACTGGCACTGGGATTGTAGGCTGAGACACTCATGACCCATATCTAAAATCCATAGATGAGTGAGTACATACCATGTTTGTCTTTTTGTGTCTGGGTTACCTCACTCAGGATGGTTTCCTCTAGTGCCATACATTTGCCTGCAAATTTCAAGATTACATTGTTTTTTTTTCTGTTGAGTAGTACTCCATTGTGTAAATGTACCACATTTTCTCTATCCACTCTTAAGCTGAGGGGCACTCTGTCATTAAAAACCTGACAAGAATAACTTTCTTGCCCACTAATATTAATCTATAACAGTTGGTTGAGTATGAATATGCATGGGTTCTTGGAATAGTTTGTTTTTCACCTGTAATATGTGAGATGCGTAATCATGAAAGGATATGGAAAATGTGCTGGGTTTTTTTTGACTCTTTATTTTGTGTGTACTGTAATCATTCACTTGGAAAACAGAATGGAACCACATTATAATTCCTATATTGCCCGAAAATATTTGTTGGATTGTATAAGCTATAGAAAAAGAAAAGTATACAGTATAAATAACATGGCAAGAGCATGCAAGAATGGAAAAGAAGGAAAGAAACCATCAGGAGAGTGTATTACTGTCTTTCCCTTAACTCCTTCAGATAGAATAGTCTTAGTTTATACTCAAACTGTAGATTGCTTTTGAGCACTAAGCTGTTTTGAGCCTGGTCCTCCAGGTGAAAATGGATTGCTACCTAGCCCAATTGTTATTAGATAGACTTCATCCATCAATAGATGGAAACAAATGCAGGCACCCAGAGCCAAGCAAGCTAAGCTTCAGGAATCCTATAGAAGAGGACAAGAAGGATTGTAAGAGCCAGAGGGGTCAAGGACATCACAAGAAAACTCACAGAATTGACAAAACTGAGGTCATAGGGACTCACAGAGACTGAATCAACAACCAGGGTGCCTGCATGGGACTGACCTGGGTGCTTTGCACATGTTACAGTTGTGTAGCTTGGTCTTCTTGTGGGACCCCTAACAGTAGGAACAGTAACTGTCTCTCTTTTGCAGGGTTTGGACCTTAATTCTCACAATGGGCTCCATTGTTTAGCCTCAATACTGGAGAAAGTGCCTGGATTTACTGCAACTTGACATGCTGAGTTTTATTGTTAGCCATGGGAGGCCTACCATTTTCTGACTAGGAAGAGGTGGATGGTGGGGTGGAGAATAGAGGTGGGGGGAAGGAACCAAAAGGGGAGAGGATAGGAGAAACTATGGTTAGGTTTTTAATTAATAATAATAATAATAATGTCATTTAAAATAAATAAACAAACATTGCCAATTCCAGTTAATATAAACAAGGCTTAACAATAAGCATTGTCACGTGTACAGGGAGTGAATAAATGTTTTCTTTAAACTGCCATATTAACCACAAAAATTCAAAATGCCAAACATGGTGAGCCTTCTTAGAATTAATGGCATTCTTATGGCAATATTATTGCACTATTACATGGGAAACATACTAATTATATAAATTGAAATGTGAAGGACATGTCAGTATTACCTGTTGCTGTTAAATTATGTCAATGCTCTTTGCTTTTACTCAGCAAAGCAGACTTTTCAATGTACTTGGCAGAAACTCATGTTAAGTATATGCAACAGCCATTTCTTATAGACCATCATGTGAGATAAAAATTGTACAAAAATAAAACAAGAAAAGGAAAAGATGGCCCCTCCATCTCTGTACTTGTAATGATAGTGCTTTGAATGAGATTCCCTGATGCTGAATACTTTACTTTCCCCATAGAGTAAGTCTGCCAAATTTGTGTGATTTACAGAGAAGTGACCTCCTCCTCATTGACTCACATCAGTAACATTTCATGTTGATTTTTACCTAAATGAATTTTATGCAGGGATTCTTGTTCATATCTAAAGAAATCTACTCAAACACCACCTCAAATTTATTGTCTAGAATCACTCCAAAATAATCAATTATTAGTCTTATCTAAAGGACTAATCCTTTTTGTACATATAAAGTGTATAATTTTAACATTTTTGATCAATTGTCTTTGTATAGTGTTTCTAAACCGCAGAATTGAAGTGTAGAGATGTGCTTTTTAAATAATATCCATTGTCTAGCAGGTAAAATGATGGTAAGTTTCAGTTGGAAGGAAACATATGCCCCATTTCCTAGATATATGTCACAATGTTTCTATGAAACTCTCACATATCCATTCCATCTGAGATTCACAAAAACTCAAATGTGCCATTTTTTTCCTGGAAACTTTAGCTTACTACATTCAGTTTCCACTTCTGTCCTAAAGGAGAAATCAATAAACACTTTGGAATTCCTATCCACTACTGCTCTGGAGTCTTCAGGAAAAGAATTCACATTGTACAAATGTCTGGGGATATAGCAACAAAATTTATCTCTTTGGGCTAAAACACATCAACTGATATATAATTTTCAAGTGTCATCTATTTTATACTTAAAAATAACTAATGGGCATGCTCCTCGGGGCTTTTTTAAAATAATAAGTTTATTTTAAAAATAATAATGTATTTTGAAAGCAATAATGTATTTTTTAAACAATTTAATGTTCAAATTTGTGTCTAGTGTGTTATATGAATGTAAGAAAATAAAGGAGATAGAGTAGGTGAATATGATCAATTTTAAAACAAAACATCCTTAAAAGAATAATTACAATTATAAAGCTAATATTTTAAAAATTAAAATGATAAAGTAGAAGTAAGTATTATGCTTTTTATTATAATTAGCTTATCAAAAGTTCACACCAAATATATGCTTATAGAAAAACTGAAGATTATCACATGCATATGTCAGTCTTAAGTATGAAAATATTAATACATTAAACCCATTAGCATCCCTTACATAATACATGAAGATCACTCAACTAGTAAGCTTTATTGACTACACAGCATAATATTCTCAATAGCCAATGGACACTAAGATGTTAAGTGCTTTGTACCATGCATTAAAACAGGAGACTAAATATGATATATCTATTAATGTTTAATTAATTCCATTTTGATTATGAATTAATACTATTCCAAAAATTTCTTTCCCTACAAATATAAAAGTAGTCTGGGTATTTGACACTTACCATAAGTCTGAAATTATAAAATTGTACCATTTGGAGTTTATAATTTCTGTCATAACATATGTTTCTTTTAATAATATATATCATTAGTTATAGCAATATATCCCCAATTTTCTATTTAACCACTCACACAATAAGAAACAGAAAATGTCAGTATTAAACAGTTTAAATATGAGTTACATCTCAATGTAACTCTTAAATATCTCATATTTAAATGAGCTGCATAGGCGTAATACCTTAAACAAGAGTATAAATATAAATATAGTATAACAAAATTGAGTTTCAATTTGTATCAATGAATACTTTAAAGTATTCATTTCCATATCATATCTCCTTTTTTTCTTTAGAGATTGACTGTGACCATTAACCATTTATAACAAATACCCTATAATTGAAAACAGACATGCTACTTCATGATTATTGTTGGGCACAGTGAACTTCTTGGGACCCCGAGGAAATTTAGAATTATGCTCATGTCCTGATTTGGATATCCTGTGTGGTTAGTCCATCACACCAGCAATCCTGAAGCTGTCATGGAGGTTGAATCATCTGGGATATCATTTCACGGAATCTTGTTTTATCATACTATATTAACCTGGAAGGAATCAACAGGTTATCATCTTCTGTGGAAGCAAAAGTAGAACTTCTTTTCCAAAGCACCCCATCATTAGACCCAAATTTCAGAGCCAAGATGCCTATATATATATATATATTGGTTTAGTTTAGAAGCCCTCACAATCTAATGTCTCTTAGCAGTTCGCTAATTAACAGTCAAAAAATCCCAAGAAAACCATAATATACATAATTCATACTCTCTGTGTATTTTCCATCTTTACATGGCCAACTATGATGTTTTATTCCTCTATTTTTCCTTTAAGAATCTGTTTATTATCCTCAAATCGTTATCTATCCTCTATCATCTTCTCCCAAGCCAGTGAACACATATCAAATACACTGTGACCCACTTAGATGCCTTTTTAAAAAATCGGAATCTGTCCGTATTGTGTATCTGTAATCGTTTTGTGACCATTGTTTTAAATTGTTAAGAGTACATGGATAAGACCAGAGTGGCTGCTTTTGGCATTGGTACTACCCCACTCCACTTTCCAACACAGTGGGGCTGTGTTTACCGTCTGCTGCTGAAACCATGTTTAGTGCCCTAACACTGGTCTATGCCACCACTCAGTAGCTTGTAGAATATTCTCCGTAAACCTGTTTCGTCTGTATATATAAAAGCTAAATCGACCAAGCATCACACTTAGTGGCTTGGAGATGCCGCTGTGTACTGTGGTGGAAATCCACCATGCTATCTTCAAGCCCAAATGCAGCATCAACTCTGCACCATTGTCTGCATGAGACTGTGAGACTAGGAAGCCCGGTGCAGCACTGTTTCTGTGTGTTCAGAACCTTATTTTTTAAAGCTTTTTCAGGTCTAAGGTGGATCCATGCCAAACTTCAGGCACCTTATGGAGGATTTTTCTCGCCTGCCAGTTTCTGAATAAACACTCAGAGGCTAATATTAATTATAATTGTTTGGCCAATATTTAGGTATGCAAGTGACTAGCTCTCACAATTAAATTAACACAAATCTAATATTCTATATTTTACCATGAGGCTTGTGACTTGTTACCTCACATCCTGCTTCCCTGAGGGCTACACGACATCTACCTCACTCTGCCTTCTTTCTCTCCATAGCTTTGCTTGGATTTCCCACCTGGCTCTATTCTGCCTGGCTATTGGTCAAATCAACTTTAATTTTAAGCTCCATTTTTTCTATTTCTTTAAATACTGCAGCGGAATGATCAACAAATACAGACACTTTTACATAGCAATTGTAACATAATTCAAATTTACCTTATTAAGCTTAGTTCTAACCACTGTTTTGTACTTACTTTTTCAGAAGTCTGAGGGATTTTTCACACAATATGTATGTACAGGAGAGTATTAGTATAAGACTGCTTTCAAATTATCCATGTGGGTGGGGGACTGGAGATATGGCTCAGATGTTGAAAGCACTTGGCTGTTTTTCCAGAGGTCCTGAGTTCAATTCTCAGCAATCTCGTGGTGGTTCAGAACCATCTATAATGAGATCTGGTGCCCTCTTCTGGTCTTAATTGTATATAAATAAATACTTCTTTTAAAAAATTGCATGAGGAATGAGGAAAGTTAAACTCACGAAACAAGCCATGACAAGTGGCAGGGATGAGACCTCAGCATATAGTTTAGGAAAGTGTACTCCAATCCTTCATTATTATTCTTCAGCTATGTATGAAATCTTCTATTGTTCTCACAGGCTCCACACCTTCCTGTTAAGTGAAGCTCAACTAACCTTAGGAATCATAACTTGGAGCTCAACATTATCAGAACAAGACGCCTAAAGTATTTCCAATTACAGACAAATAAAATCAAGTGCACAATAGGAGGGGTGGTCTACTGTACCAACAAGCACAGTTTTTCCTTCTTACACTGTAGCCTTTACATGATGAATTATACCCCAGAAATCTATTGTTCACCCACTATTTATTTAATACACCCTGTGACAGTATCCTTACCTTGTGTTCCTCTCTATGCCACTTCAAGTGAGACTTCTTAGAAAGTCCTCTGTCACCCAATCTGAAGCTGCTACCTCTGTCAATCACTTTCTATCATAGCATCTACTTTATCTTATTCAAATATGAGTATATAGACTTTTTCTATATACAGATTTGCCATTTTTTCTTGCCCTAATAGTGGGATATAATTTATGTAACCGTAATCAATCTGGAATAAGAAGCATACTTGATGCATACTGTCTTCAAAATTGAAGGTTCCTGACTGACTTGATTTGAAAGGGTATTTTAGTCTTCAAACCATTTATTTCTTCCCTACCAACTGGTAGCAATGATATACAAAATGAAGAATTGACATATTTCCCCAAGAATGGTCAGTTGTCTTCATCAAGCTTGGTATCTAAAATGCCATTGGCAGTTGTATGTTGATGCTAGCAATAAATACTGAGCAGGTTAATATTATAATGTAGGGAAAGAGCAATTATTTTTGAAAGAAAATGTGTCATAGCAATTACAAAATTCAACATGTTATAATTTTTCCCTTTGGTGACCTGTTTATTTAATATGTACCAAGAAGCATCTTCGTTTCAGTTCATATTAATTGTGTCATTCATGACAGTACTGCAATTAGAATATTACAACATTGTAGAAAATCTGATGTCTAAGCTTTATATATTAGGTATCAAATCAAATATAGAAAATGGCATCATTTCCTGAATTTAAATTATTGATTTATAGCAAGTAAAGTATACAAAAACTTCAAACATAAAAATTCTGTTATTTTAAAATACTTTCAAAGCAGCACTCAGTGTTCCAATCTGGTATTTCCAAAGGAATGCTTGTAAAAATATAAGAGTCTGTCTTCTTTGCTCAACCCTTGAAATATTGAGAGTGATTATGTAGTTCACTGGATGTTAGAATGATTTGGAGAAGTTTAAGTGTCCATGACCAATTAAAGCAGAATATTCTATGGTTAGAATGTAGATATCAACACCCTCCCCAGCTTTTCAAGTGACTGCAATATTCAAACAAAAGTGAGATCCACTACCCTAAGGATGAGCGAATGTAAAAATGGGCAGCATGCCTAATACATATGGATATGGATAGAGTCAGAGATGGAATATTTCTACTTAAACCTTATGCCAGTCAAGTTGAAGTTTTGCAGTTACATTATGTCATTATCTCTGAAATGTATTTGGTTGAAATCCAAAGAAGATAAATGAGCACTCTTCACAGAAATGGTTTAATTTGGCAGACATCACTGCTTCCACAAACAAACTGTTCAACAAAATCAATTCTTGGAATCATTATAACGTTAAGAATAGAAAGTAAGAACTAAGAGGCAGGTGTTATATGTAGCTTCAGAAAAGGCAACAGAAATACTTGCACTCATTTTATTATGTGCAGTGTTGCTTCTCAACGTACCTGTTTGCAAAGTTTACTACACACCACAGGTAGAGGGCATTTCCATTCTCTGCTGTTATTGTATAAACATTCTCCAAAGAATGGACTGTATTGTCAATACCAACACTTCTTTAAGTATACATGTAAAACTGATAAGGTATCAATATTTTTACTTAAAATGAAATACATATAGACAAAATATATGAAAGCGTGTTCATATTTACACCATAAACTTATGTATAGGTGAACATCTGTACCCACACTACATGAAGCTGACTTCTGTGCAATTTTCTAGACATTTAGTGATCATGTATTATTTCTAACTTCCAAATTTGAGATTAATAGCAAGTACAATTTTCTTTTTCCCCTTATCCCATTACCTTAAAATATTTAGGATATAGTTTATCTCTAATAATTTATAACACATTTTGAAATAAATAT